AGAAGATACTATGGGAGATGATGTATAATAAAAATATAAGCTATTTGTATACGGTTCGGATCGGTTCCAATCCGGAACCGTGGGGTTCACTCCGGAACCAATCCGTAGACTACAGATTTTTAATTCTTCAATCCGGAACCGAACCGCGGATTCAAAAAACCAATCCAAACCTATCGGATTGGACTGGACTGGATCGGATTACAGATTTCACGGATCGCTTGCTCAGCCCTAATTTGCAACACTACAAAATCAAGTCTAGCGAACCAAAACTCTACTGTGACTCTCTCTTTTTCTTTCTAAAAATTAAATGCAGAGCAGATGCAAAAACACATAAATGAACAGAAGAAGAAGGACGGAATTCTGAGGGAAAAATTAGATACCAAGAATTGCTAGAATAGAAGGCTTTATATAAGAGAAATGGTGGTTTTTCCAAACAGGTAGAAAACCTATTTGGACAAATTGAACAAGTACAAACCTGTTTGAACAGTTACAGATTTGAATTCAATAGATATGAACCTATTTGGGTGGGTAACGGTTTGGGATCTGTTTGGGTGAAGAAAAAAAAAATGGACCAATTTATTTTGAATTTTGAAACCAAAATTAAAAATAAATAAATAAAATTCAAATATTTTTTGCCCAAAAAGAAAAGTATTAGCCCGGACAAGCCCAACCCAACCTCACACCACGCACCCAGGCCCAGCCTACAAGGACGGTGGCAACGGCGTACGCGTGTGGTTTTTTGTTTTGGGTCTAATGGGTCTAACTCACTTTACCCATAACCTCACCCTTCCACAAACTTGAGTACCCATTGGGGCCCATCCCAAGTAACCTATTCAAAACCTTAAGCCTTTCCAATGTAGGGCAAGCACATTTCACAAATGTGTAGAAAACCCACCTAAAGCCATTTCCATGAACCTGAAAACGCCCATTGAATTCTCATTCATTCGGAAATGGTTTTGAGCAACCAAATACACGATTTTATTCACTACGCGGCATTAAACATAAACTCAATGAGAAATGTTAAAAATAACGCTTAGGTCCCACCTTAATTAATGCTCAAAGTTAGCAAAAAACAAGGTTTTTCCAAAGCCTCCAAAGCCATTTTCCGGAATTTGGTCCCTATTGTTTTAATTTGCTCAATTTTGACAGGGATAATAGAAATAAGAATATAATTATAAATAAGAATATAATTGTAAATAAGAATATAAGACTAATTAATATATTAAATAAGAAGGAAACATAATAGAAATAAGAATATAATTATAAATTCCATTTCTAAATAATATATTAAATCTACATTTTCAAAATCAATAAGACTAATTAGTATATAAGAAAATTCTCGAGACTAAATGGATCATCATTCCTCTAGAGGTTTTTTTTTTTAAAGTTTCTTAGAGTGGTGTATTGTGTGGTTGACATTTAATGATAAATTACATTAATTTTTTAATATTAAATTTTAACCACATAATACATCACTTTAAAAAAATTTAAGAAAAAAAACACTTTAGAGAATGATTGGTGGGCGGCTCTCATAATGCTGGAGCTTCTACTTCGCTAATTCCTAGCCTTTTCTTTAGTGGGTTAATTATCGAAGGCACTACTTTTTTTTCTAGGTCAAGTCAAAGTCAAGTTGGGATGAATTTAAGCTGTGCTAGTCCATACTATCCATAATTCTAAAAACATAAGACAAAAAATTGCTTGGTAGATAATTTTTGTTTTTAATTTTTTAGAATAAATTTAAAAAAAAAATTATTTGGTACAAAAACATAAAAGAACAGTAAACAGAAGCTGATAACAACTTAAATATTTCTCATTCTATAATTTTTTTAAAAAAAATTACAAATCCTTACATAATGTAATAAAAATCTTCCGTTATAACTTTTGAATAAAAATGATTCAATTTAGTTGGTGATGAGTGTTCCATTTACAATTCTCTGACAATAATGTTATGGTGACATATTTTTGTATATCATAACTTATCAATTCAATTCTATTAGTTTAAGGAAAATAATATAGAAATTCAATTTCTAAATTTATTTTAACATCGAGTGAAGTGTGAAGATAATTAATTGATAATTAAAAATTTATATATAAGAAATAATTATCTTAAATATTCCAAGAAAATTTACCTATCAATCTCATCTTAAGGAATGATGATCCATTTAGTCTCAAGGATTTTCTTATATACTAATTAGTCTTATTGATTTTGAAAATGTAGATTTAATATATTATTTAGAAATTAAATTTACAATTATATTCTTATTTATATTATGTTTCCTTCTCTCTTTTTTTTTATTTTGTGCTAGAAAAGTAAGGTACAGAATTTATGGGAATTATGGAATGAAATTTTAAATGGAAATCTTTTTTATTTGGAAAACATTTTAAAAGGAGTATAAAAATAACTTGAAATATGAGATTCTTCAAAAATTTCAAATGGATGTGGGATTATTCAAATATTTTAAAAGGAGTAGAAAAACTCCTTAGTAAATTTTGAGCAAATGTATAATGGCCCCGTTTGGTAGAGCTGTGAGAAAGTGATTATAGATTATAGCTTATAGCTGTGAGCATAAGCTGGTAACCTGTTTGGTGTAGCTGTGGGATTATAAATTTAAGTAGCAGAATAGTGTTTGGTAAATAAGCTGTAAAATAGTTTTTCTGTGTAATTGACCTTTTTGCCCTTATATGATATGAAAATGATAATTTTGTCCTTTTTTCTTTCAATTTCGATTTAAAAAATTATTTCATTAATAAAAGTTAATATAATTAGTATTAATTTGTATCAACTGATATAAAAATTGATACACTTGATAAAAATGTAATGGAAGTATTATTGTAATAATTTTTTTCCATTATAAATTAATTAGTATCAATTAATTGCTTAATCAGTATCAATTAATACTAAAATTATTAATTAGTATCAATTAATATTGATAATTAATTTTTATTAGTATCAAGTAATATTAATAATCAACTTTTGTTATTTATTAGTATCAATTAATAATTAATTCATTACAAAAATATACAATATTAAATTTTTTTGACATTTCTGATTTTGTTTTTATTAAAAATTTTTATTACAATTAATAATATAACAATTGTTATTTTTTTAATTTATTATTCTTTTTCATTACAATTAAATTGTGTAATTTATTTAATGGATATAACTTGCACAATTTAATTCAATATTAATAAATTATTTTTATTATTTTGTTTTTAATTATTATTTTTGTTTAATTTTTTTAATTTTTTTTTCCTTCTCTTCCTTCCTGAGCCATCTGTACGCTGCCGGTGGTTTGCAACCCTAGCCACCGCGGTGATCTGGAACAATAGAGAGAGAGTGTTGTCGCTCGTCGTCGTTCACCCGCCTGAACAATGCCAGAGATGGGAACTGGTTCGTGAGAAATAGACAGAGAGACAGAGAAAGAGGACGGCAGATCTTCATCTTCATCAATGAGCAACCCAAATCCCGTCGTGTCGTCATCCCCGTCACCATCGCGCTTCCAAACCCTATCGATCCAACCATGCGCAGAGAGAGAGAGTGAGATTGCAGATTGAGAGAGACAATCCAGATCTTCATCAGATCGAGTGAGATTGTAGATCGAGCAACCCAAATCTTCATCTTCATCGAGAGAGAGAGAGAGCACAACGCCGGAAATAGCCTCCACACGCTGGAAATTGCCAATCTCTTTGAGAGGAGTGAACAATGTTTTCATTGTTGTTTATATAGTGGGCATTTGGTAATACTTGAGATTGATGAAGAGCATTTTAGTCATTTTGCCCCTCAATTCCAGTTTCTCGCTTAAGCTGCTTCAAAAAACACCTCCTCACCCACTCACAAAATAATCACTTTTTTGACTTATTTTAAGCAAAAAGTTGATCACTTAAGCTAGACCAAAAACTCAAAAACTACTTAATTTAAACTAAAAGCTGAAATAAGCTGACTTTAAGCTCTACCAAATGGGCGCAATTTCAAATTATAACACTCCAATATAACACTCAAACATGACACTCCAAAATAAAATTCGTAGTGCACTTTTCCCAAACGTAACACTCCAATATAACACTCTAAAAAAACTTCTTAATGTAACACTACAATGTAACACTCACAAAAACTCCTTAGTGTACTTTCTCAAACGTAATACTCCAATGCAATACTCCAAAAAAAAGTTGTGGGATTTTTTAAACCATTCCAAAAGGATATGAAATTCTTCAAACAATTCCAAAAGGAATACAAAAATTTCTTAGTAAGTTTTGAGTAAATGTATAATTTCAAACTATAACATTTGAAAAAAGTAAATTAAGGAGTTTTTAATGTTTTTGTGTATTACATTAGAGTATTACGTTTGGAATTACATTGATTGGAGTGTTACATTTAGAAAAAGTACACTAATGAATTTTTTTTTTTTTGGTTACGTTGGAGTATTAAATTTGGAGAAAGTATACTACGGAGTTTGTTTTTAGAGTGTTACGTTATTACGTTTGAAAAAAGTACACCAATGAGTTTTTTAGTATGTTATATTATTGGAATGTTACATTGAAATGTTACGTTTTTTTGTTCGTAACACTGTTGGAAATTAGGCTTTTAATAGTGTTTAAAAAATGCCGCTATAGCTATCAAAAAAGCCTTTAATTATTTTTGTAACGTTTAGTACCAAACATCGAAGACGTGGCCGTCATTATAGCTTTATGACGCTTTAAAAGCGTCGCTATATTAGTATAGGCGGCATTTTTTAAAACGCCGCTAAATGTATTGCATAACGGTACAATGACATCACACCACATTTAGCGACGTTTTAAAAATCTCATGATAGATCTTTTCTATTTTAAAAATATAACCGTTGGCATTATTCTATAGTGGCGTTTAAAAATGCTGTTATAGCTTTGTTTGTTTTTATTTTATTTTTTTTTTTGAAATTGTGCTAATTCTGTGAGATTTAACTAAAAAAAAAATGCAATAAAGATGAAAAATATTCAATATATTGACTAAATTTAGGTAAACATAATACTGGATCAATTCATGCTTCTCAATATGCAAAAATATTTCAATTCCAAGATGAAATAAAGTTGAACTAGTGCCTAGGCTAGGGGTAAGTTGAAAGTTATTACAAAATAGATCGGCACGAAAGATGCAATTCAAACTAATTATACATACAAGTACTATGAAAGCATCTACCAAGAGACAAAAATTCCTGGGTTTTTCTGTTGATGCAGTCAAAGAAATGTCTGAAAGACCATTGGAAAAATAAAATGAGATTTGATGTGCACTCTCCAATTGCCAAAACCATTGTTGCAATCCTCTTCAATGATTCAGAGGCCTTGCACAGATTAGATTCAGAAAATGGAATGTTGCAGGGAATAAAAGTTACATTAGAATTATATGTGAAAGGTGAAATCAACACAATCTACCACTTTCCAGATAACAGTAGTATAAATTCATAGTATTAAGTACTAAATAATTATTTAGAAGAAAACCAATTCACTCACATAATTTGGAAAGATAACCATAACAACATTCCCAGGCACCTCTACTAGCAGCTGTCTCACAGAGTACTCATGAGCATCTGCTGGATGAAGTAACTTGTCAGTGTCAAGATGGACAATCCAATCCATGCCAGCTTTCTAAAAAAAAAATGGAGAATGTAAAGACCAATCTTAAGAATTATTCAAAAAGAATTTCTCACTGGTAAAAAAAAAAATCTAGCTGGTAAAAAAGAAAAAAAGAAAGAAAGTTGTACCAAAATTCATAAATGAAAAGATATGATCATACCCTTGCCATGACGATAGCCATTTCCATATTGAGGGATTGCTTGACAAATAACTCATAGTTGCAAGGTTTGTAGAAAAAGCTTGCCAACCAAGTCTCATTCCAGATCCGGCTAAACAACAAAAATAATAAAGAACAATGAAATTGAAGACTAACTCGTAGATTAATAGGAATTTCCAAAGCAGTTCGGATTTAACAACAAAACTAAAAAATACATATATTTTCCAATTCAAGCACAAAAGAAAAGGCTTTACCAGAGCAATAAAGCCAACAGACAGCCTATTTACCTATTAATAGAAAAGCTAACTAATCATTTAAGAAATGAAAAATATTTAATAAATGGAGGACATACCTCCATAAGAATCCTTCAAGAAAGGTTATAGCTCTAGAACTAATGATAATGTTGTATCAACATGAGTTCATTCTACTAGCTTATCATCTCTCCAATTAATTAATGCAAATGAAATATGAAAACCTATGTAACAATCCAAGTGGAAAATGAACAATATAAGCTGAAACCTAAGCCAATAAGAATAAGCAGCATTAACAAAAGAAAACATAGAGTTAGAAATAACACTGCTCATATCATTGTGATAAATGGAACAATGTTCAACATATAGGCACAATAGCTGAAAATCTTTTGTCGTCCCAATCTATTGACGAGTTCTTGACCTAAAGGGCGTGGCCACAGCCATTCAAGTTTTGCAGGTACCCAAGCTACTACAAGATCTTCATACAAACTCATCTGCACAGTTTACATAGATTTATTTGAAGATCAAAAGATGTCATGTTTCTGCAAACCCTTTAAAAAAAACAAGATTAATAAGATTTTAAGGTAAACATGGCAAAGACAAGATACATGAAACATAATCTCCACAAAACCAGGAAGTAGAGCAAATGGACATTTAAAATAGGTGGCCAACAAATACCCAAAAATAATCATTGCATAAATCATCAATAAGTAGGGAGAGATTGAAAGAGCACTACCCATAATTTAGAATCAAACAGATGAAAACAAGAAGTGCTTCTAAAGCACAGTGAAAGCAGCTATTACTTGCAATTTAAAACGAACTTTGGTTAGGAAGATTAGAAAGCCAGCCATGCTCTTCAACCCATTCTCTCTGCAACATGCATTATGTATATCTAAAATATGATGTTGAGATGAATAATTAGCATGACAAGAAATAAAAACACACACAGAGGGAAAAAAATAACTCATTCGCAAGAACTTAACAGAGTACGGAAGAAAAAATTAGCCAGGGTGGTTTACTCATGTACAGTCATAGCCCCTAAATGCACCAGCACGGGAAGGAATTTGGACAGGATAACAGGAAGGCAAAAAAGAAAATGGCCCAAGTTATAACAATAGAGCTGATGGCATATAATTTAATGGGTGATCTGACAAATAATATGAATATAGACAAAGCTGAATAGCCGAGGGATTCTCGTAGCTGGACTTAATGAGTAGTACTCAACATTAGTAGATCACCATGAACAGAGTTTATAGGATCAGTATGAAAATTCATATCCTTTCTTTAAACTCTACCGCTGCACTGTAGAAAATGATGAACCATTTCAATCACCCCAAAAAAATTTAAAAAAAAAAACCTCCTGATACATTCAATTATTACACAAAATGTAAGCAACATAAATGCCTTTGGACTCTGTTGTCAGCAGCTTGTCTGCAGAAACTAAAATAGTTTGAAGCTTCATCATTATATCTGATGCCAAAATGATATAATTCTTCAAACAATGTGTGCATTAGAGCCTATTAAAACACTGATAACTAAAAAGCATAACAAGACCTTCCATGCTTACCTCTTTTCTGCTCTTCAGAAGCTATAGAACATTGCCTAAGGTATCTTTTATGGGCCCCACCTTTAAGGAAACCCATCTCTTTGCTTATATGAGGAACTACAGCAATAAAATTTGTCAGAAGAGAGAGGCTAACAAATATTTTGATACATGAACTTTATTAATACAAAAGAACAAATTTGATTGCTAAATAATCAAAGATTATAAGATATAATTTGCAATAAACCCATTTTTTTAATGCATGAATCTTGTGATAGTTTGTGAAAGGTAGAGGAAGATCTAATTAATGTTTAAAATTGATGAAGTACATGCTTAAATATAATAAAATTAGCAAAAATGTACCACAATAGAGTGAACTGCAGCAGGGAAGCTTTGCTTCTTTATTTGTAGAAACCTTAGCCCCCTTTTCCATGCAGGTACGTCCATGCTGCGTTTTCAGTAGGAAATCCTTAGAAAAAGTGAATATCTCAGGATCAATGCTATACACAAACATACACTTGTGCAAAAACGATGAAGTAAAAAAAAGGGAAGTGCAAAAAATTGAATGTTCCCCATTGTAATTGTTTTACAAAATACTAGTAGTTTGAACATTGACCATACATTAATGGAATGCCAATGTGTGACCTTAACAGAAATAAAAGAATTGAATCCAGAACAGTTCACTATCAACTGTATTGAAGCACCACAACATTGAATCCAGAACAGTTCACTATTGTAAATAAATTCCAGTTTATTGCATCACACAGAGACACAAGTTCACTAGTTAAAATTTGGCCTACTAATCTTGCGGTTATGGGTTTAAATTTGAGGGTGGTTACTGTGTGCAAAGTATGCCAAAGGTTAGGTTTGCGCTAAAGCTTTAAAAAAAATTAAATAAGAAGGGTAGAGTTTTAAAAAATTTACGCCTATGATTAGTAATTTTTTAGAAGATAAAGCTATAAAAAAATACCTAAAAAATAAAGTGTATAGCATAGATTTGAGACACATCAGAGTTTAGGATGTGGTCGACTAACTTTCTTCCTTCTGACATTTCTATATCTAATTTGTAGGCCATTTGGGCTTCCTTTATTCAATATTAGTTATGGAACAAGCATGAAGGATATGACAGGATAGTTTCAAACCAAGTATCAAAACCATTCGCAGGATTTCACAGGATTGATTTCAATTACCAAATCGACATTGCACCATCAGTTCAGCTTGAGAGAGACAAAGAGAGGCAGAGACATAGACAGAGAGAGAGAGAGACAGTGGAGCTCACCGATCTGAATCGCTGAGATGAACTTCGATTTCGAGAGAGAACTTCGAACTTCGAAATGATTTGAATCACCGATCTGACATGGTCTGAACTTTGATTTCGAGAGAGAACTTCGAACTTCGGAATGATCTGAATCATTGATCTGTTTCTGTGAGACCGATCTGAATCTATGAATCTAATTAGGGTTTAGACAGCAGAGAAAGAGAGAGAGAGAGAGAGAGAGAGAGAGAGAGAGAGGAGCTCACCGATCTGAATCGATTTTGAGATGAACTTCGATTTTGAGACAGTGGAGCTCGAAATGGCTCTCAGATATTAATGGGGTTTAGACAATAGAGAGAGAGAGAGAGAGAGAGAGAGATTGCTCGCTCGAGATTTGAAGATTCAAAATATAGCAATAACACATACGACTAAAATGTTACTCTAAAGCATCACTAGTGAGTTGACATACACTTAAAAAAATAAAAAATAAAAAAGCACAGTAACACTGTGGCAATAGGTAAGACCCACTGTCATATCATTAGTGCTACCACTAATTAGTGGTCTCAACCATTTTTCTTCAAAATAAGGGTGAAAATATGGAGAGAGGGAACGTGAGAGATAACCCATTAGAAGGCATTTATAAACGTCTTCTATTAATGAAACGGCGTTTTTTTATTTAAAGAAAAATGCAGCGTTTACAAAACGTCGTTAAATATATCAACAGTGGCATTTTAAAAAACGCCACCACAACCCATATTTCCTATAGTGATGTGGGATTTGTTCTAGATGAAAGAAAAATCCAAAACCTTTATAGTGTGATTGTCCAAATATGTAATTTTACATTTAGATAAACACATTTTTAGCCCTAAAAAATTGAACGCAAATATATAAGTGATTGCCTTTTATGTAATTTTTATTTTAATGGAACTTTTGAGTTCAAAAAAAATAAAAATAAATAAAGGATTAAACAGTTCACAAAATCACATTTTGAGATTGATGTTTCACTCAATATTCTAATAGATTATCATATAATTAAATTTAAGAAGTATGTCTAATTTTTAAATGTCTAATTTTTTTAAATTAAAACAATAGTACTCTTATTTACTACGTGGACAAAGTTTCCCTCAGTGGCTCGCCTTCATTGTCTCTCTCATCTCCTCTTTCTCTTACCATTTTGCCTTTCTTTAGGTTCAACTATTTTTCTTTCTCTACCTTTCCGACTAAGGTGCTGGAACTCATTATAAATTAAAAGTTGCCAATTCAGATGTCACGACCCCAAACAGCCCTTAGTAGTTTGGTGTCGTGATGGCCAGTAATCCGAAATTACCGAAGGCCAACTTACAAGATTCACACACACAATCAGAATATAAACATATGGGGCTCACAAGTGCGGAAGCAAAATTTTAAAATACAAGTGGTCCATAAGAGCTGTGCTTCAGTCAAATGAGATAGCAACCATTTACATAAGGGTTATAACTTAATTACAAACAAAGCAAAATGCAAGTTACATTTTTCGTATTAGCAAAGGGCTCCACAAGCCGACATAAACAAATCGTACGAATTACAGGTCTAAGAACACAGTCTGCCAGGTTGCCGACATCTTCTTTGCTGACATAACAATCATACAAAAACATACATCTTGATCAAAAGGCTTCTCAGTCGACGTGTTCGAAGTACAAATATTACAAGTCGAGAAGCATAATTTTCAAGACTGCCGACATAAATGCAGGTTAAGCCGACATAATCAAAACCCAAAACAAGCTCCATAAATCACATCTAGGCGTCACCGCCTTCTTGTTCATCACCTACATATATATAGAGAGGGTGAGCTTGGATACTCAGTGAATGGTATAAATAATAAAGGGGTTTGCATGAATAATAGTCGAAATCCTTTCAAAATAATACAAGACAAACTCTATATATAACAAGGAATGGACCTCGTCCATCTAACAAATGTTCAAAGTTTCAAGGGATGCTTACTAGCATCATATATTACAAACAGTAACATTCCGACAAACATATCCACGCGGTAAACCGTCCGTGGCAAAGCAAGACAAAGCAAGATAGGCATCTCAAACGAGGGTGCTACAAAAGTTTAGAGTCCTCTAGCACAAGGGACTTTCAAGACAAGATGTGCTGCGAAAGTTTAGAGTCCTCCAACACGAGGGACCTATGTTACAAAGGCCCGTAGCCCTCTAACACTAGAGTACAAATCAAGGGTGCTGCAAAAGTTTAGAGTCCTCCAGCACAAGGGACTTTCAAAACAAGATGTGCTGCGAAAGTTTAGAGTCCTCCAGCACAAGGGACTTTCAAATGAGATGTGCTACGAAAGTTTAGAGTCCTCCAGCACAGGGGACTTTCCGAGAAGGTCATTCAAACAAATATGATGCGAGATACGAAACTAAGGACAATCATTCATGCTTAACAAATATCTTTCAAGACAAACAAAGCAAAGTTCTTTAAAACATTGATAACATAACTTTATTAGAAATACCACTCACCTAGTTCTTCAAACGTCGGGGTCAAGGCAAGTCCAAGTCCTACAACACATGGCAAAGTCTATTGAATGCACTACTCAAAACAAGTCTAGCTTACGTGCAAAGGACCTCGACATTCTTCAAAACTAAGTCAAACAAATTGAAACAGAGTTTCTTATCCTTGGAAAAACCCGCTAGGCAACCACCAGGTCTAGGCCGAGGTCCCACACCTCCTTGCCGAGGTGTGGCCTCGACGGCCACGTTCAAAAACGAAGTCGGGAAAAATCTGGGTTTCCCTCTTGATAAACATGAAGAACATGAGCATGAAGAACTTGAAGAACACGAACATGAGGAAGATGAATGCAAAGATCAAAACTTGTTATTACAAAAGCTGAGATTTCATGCTATAATTTCAAATACATGGACCTGGGTACCCACACTCAAGGATCTCATCAAAACAAACACAAAAGCATGAGCTTTAATGCAAACTTTCAGATCAAACGAGGCTTTTCTTCAAAACACATAAAAACCGTTTTCTCTTTCTAAAACCAACTTTAAATCAATGCATGCCGTGCCGAACAGGTCTGATCGTGCAATGCAGCTAGATGATCAATAAGAACAACAAGAGTAGGTTACGATTCTGACCTCAAAACTCGAATCCAACAGTTCAAGCTCCAACGATCAAGCTTGGAAGTCACCCTCTCTAGCTCAAACTTCTCCCCCTTCTAACTAGAGCTTCTCTCTCTAAAAAGGCAAGATTGATACAAAAAATGATATGCTTCACACGACAAATACTGACTTAATCCCTCTGTCGGGACACGTGGCATCGGTTGATTCGCTCAACTCAAAAAGGTGACTGACTTGACAAGACAAGACCAAGACAAAGCGTACTCAACAAGCTAGGTGGCACGAACACGCCGGCAAGAAACGACATCGGCTAACAACAAGACTCCGGAAATCAAAGGGCAAGGACATCGGCTTGGAAGGACAACACTTTGACTAAACTGTGCCACACCTTGGCCTAGATGTGCCATACCTCGGTCTAGGTCATACCATTCCAGGAACAAAATCACTCATGCAAGGATCAAGGATCTAGAATACTTAGATATTAACATCTCGGCCCAGATGATGCACATCTCGGCCTAGGCGACGCGCACCTCGGCCTAGATGGTGACATCTCGGCCAATATGCCAGGGTGAAGACGGAGGTCAACCAAAAGGGTTCCAAGATAGTTCTAAATGATAAGGTTTCAAAGGTGTCTAGGCTTAAGAGGACCTCGGCAGCACACCAGGCAAGAACAAAGTATGCAAGCAACCATTCAGGCAAAACAAGACAGATTTGCAAATGTACCGATTAAAACAAGATCTTCCATGAATGTATACAAGTATGACTAAGTCAAAATGAGGGTTGTTACATCCTACCCCCCTTAAAGAAGTTTGGTCCCCAAACTTGAGTTACCTTGTTCCAAAAACAATTCTGGATGTCGGGCTTTCATTTCCTCTTCCATTTCCTATGTAGCATCCTCCCCGTAATGCTCCTTCCATTCAACTTTCACCATTGGTATCGTCTTGTTTCTTAACTGCCTCACCTGCCTATCGACAATCCGTATCGGCTTCTCTTCGTAGCCCAAATCTTCATTAATTACCATTCCGAAATAGTCAATCACATGAAGTGGATCTCGAATATATTTCCTCAACATCGAAACATGAAATACATTATGGACTTGGCTCAATCCTGGCGGCAAACCAAGTCTGTAGGCCGCGAGGTTAATCTTCTCGAGGATTTCAAAAGGTCCGATGTAACGGGGTGCTAACTTACCCTTCTTCCCAAATCTTGTAACTCCTTTCATCGGTGAAATCTTTAGGAACACGTGGTCCCCGACTTCAAATTCTAATTCCCTTCTTCTTTGGTCGACATAACTCTTCTGTCGACTCTGTGCAGTTTTGATCCTTTGCTGAACGAGCTTAATCTTCTCGGTTGTTACTTGAATTAACTCGGGACCAAGCAGAGCTTTGTCTCCTACCTCGGTCCAACATATCGGCGACCTGCACTTTCTTCCATACAGTGCTTCATACGGCGCCATGCCAATGCTAGCTTGATAGCTGTTGTTGTAGGTAAATTCTACCAAAGGCAAATGTACCCCCCAATTTCCTTGGAGGTCCAATACATATAGTCTAAGCATATCTTCAAGTGTCTGAATCGTCCTCTCTGTCTGCCCATCAGTCTGGGGATGAAAAGCTGTGCTAAACCTCAACTCGGCTCCGAAGGCTCTTTGTAGGCTCTGCCAAAATCTGGAAACCAACTTCGGATCTCGGTCTGACACAATTGACATCGGCACCCCATGGAGTCTAACAATCTCATTCACATACAACAGAGCAAGTTTATCGGCGTTGAAGGTGGTCTTAACAGGCAATGAGTGCGCTGACTTAGTTAGTCTATCCACGATGACCCAAATCGAATCCATACCCTTTTGCGTCTTCGGCAAACCAACCACAAAGTCCATGGAGATGTGCTCCCATTTCCACTCAGGAATTGGCAACGGTTGAAGAAGTCCTGCTGGCCTTTGATGTTCCACTTTTACTTGTTGACAATACAGACACTGGGACATGAACTCGGCTATCTCTCCTTTCATATTTGGCCACCAAAACGTCTGCTTCACATCCTGATACATCTTGGTGTTCCCGGGGTGAACAGCAAACTTGGAACCATGAGCTTCTTGCAGAATTTTTCTTTTCAACTCTGGGATGTCAACTACACA